GCATCTATGTTCTTTCATCTAAGGAAATCAGCCTGTAGTTTTCTTTCCTTGTTAAGTCCTTTTCCAAATTTTGGTATAAGGGTAATGCCTTTTGTGCAACAAAGGTTGAATAAGACAGCAACAGTATCTGTGTATGCTTAACATAGGATATAAAAGTGATGGTGCATTCAGATATATCATTTAAATAGAAGACTCATAAGTGGGAAACATCAGGCCTAATATTGCAGGACAAGAGGCAAGAGGGAAGGGGGAGATAATCACGTGAGAGGAGATATCCACATGGGAGAGAAGAATGCAATGAAAGAAAGGTGCATATAGACAGAGAGACAGAAATGTTTTCTAGAATGTGTGATAAGTTCATTAAAGCATGTGCTTACTGGATATTCAACACAGAACTCATAGTAACTGTGATATTCTTCTTTTGAGTAGGCTTCTAGACCCTCTGAAATTCGGGATTTTTCTGGAAGGATTGAGCTCTAGGAAATATTATAAGAAAATGTAGTGTTCTTATAACTTCAGATAACTTCTTGCAAAATTAATGAATTTATTCTGGACACACACACTCTTTGTATGGTTGCTATTGAAAGTGCTCAGACTTGATTTTATTTTCATTTCCACAGAGAAGTAAAGAAAGAAACTTCATTCTAAACTCCAAAATGTCAAGTTTTTTTCCTCAAAATATGATCTATGGGTATAGAGAGGAGAATATTTGTTTCTAGGGGCTGGGAGGGCAGCAGGGAGAAGAGGATGCAAGAGACCGATTAATGTGCATGATACTATAGTTAGATAAAAGGGATAATTTCTAGTAGCACAGAAATTATGAAAATTGAGGAAACAACTCCCATACATTATGGTGACCATAATCAACAATCATTTATTGTAGAATTTAAAATAGCTAGACCATCAGATGGGTTGATTAATTAATTGACTAATTTTGCACTGAGTATTAAAACCAGGGCCTCACATGTGCTAGGAAAATGCTCTACCACTGAGCTACACCCCCAGCCCAAAGAGATTTTTAATGTTATCATCACAAAGAAATGATAATTGGATGAAGTGGTACATGTGTTATTTACTTTGAGTTGATCATTATACATTTGTATAAACATTGCAACCTACTTCATGTATAAATGTAATTTGTATATGTTAATTAAAAATAAAAAGTGGGGCCTTCAAAATATACAGAAAAACTCAGGCATACATTCCATTAATATCCTGTAGTCAGTTTCCTCAAGGAAATATTAAGAAAAGATTCATGCTGGATGATGTCTGTCAAAACCTTTTACTTCTGATTCCATCAGCACCGCCATGATTAGGACTGCTTTCTCATCATCTATCTGGCCCTTTAGTCTCTGATTCATTCTCCATATTCCTGCCAGAAAGTTCTGAAAGCATGACCCTTCTTCGGTGCACCTTGCTTTTTCTCCACATTTTCTCCTGCTGTCATCACCAACTATTTTTTCCTCTGACTAACCCATTCCCCTGCTTAACCCTTGGTAATTCTCTTCTCTTTAGGGTTGACCTGGAGTGACTTACTTTTTCCTGTGCATAAGCCCATCAAGATGGATTTCTCCAAGCTGAATGAGGCATTCCTCACAGCTTGCTTCTATAATGCTATTGAACAAACATCTTCTGGACTACTTTCTAGGTAGTTGGTGCTGTTTTGAAAATATCAATGCATTTAATTCTTTTAGCATCTTCACAAGAACATCTAGAGGTGAATTTATAAACTTTCTTTAGTGTCTTATATTGGGCTGACTCCTTTTCCTGATATACAGCAGGAAGATTTCCGATGGAATACTAATACCTAAAAATAATACATTATTTTCAAATGTCCAAAAGATCTGAAGAAGGTTATATTAGAAACAATTACTGTAATATTCATCATCTCTATGTTGTGCTTCCAAAAAGGAGAACAAATAATAATTTGAATATTTGAGTCATATTTTGTATGGCATGGGAGTATCACAAATTTAAAGCATAGCACCTGATAAGTCATGGTAGCTGGAAAGGGACAACACAAGGCAGGTATCAGAATAAACTCTTGTAAGTATTCTCATTTCTTCTCCATCACAATTGTAATAAATAGTGATGATTAATCTCAGCTGAGGTCTAAGAAGAGAAGAGTGATTGGCCCAAAAGAGAGGCTCACAGCACTCACTACACATGAGTTGACAGGCTGAGCCCATATATATGAATTGTCCTTGACAAGGATCTGCAGACTGTAACAAATGTCGATGTAAACTAAACTGGTGGTAACAACGTTTCCCCGTTTGAAACGAATAGTCCACGAAAGAGGAAAAGGCAGATCGTCATCAGTCAGAGGAAGAAACTGCAGGACAGCAGAAAGTTAGCAGATTCGTGTTAGTGAACTGGAGGAAGCTAGAGAAGTTCCGCTCCTGCTGTTTGCGGGTAACATCAGGTATGGAGGAGAATCGACGCTTTGGATGAGAGTGCTGGCACTTAAAAAGATCTGCTTCACCCTCAAATTAACAAAATTGTATATACGCATACATCATTTTGATCTGCTGATGCACCACCTCTCCAAAGAGGCCGTTTGGAGCATTCTGAAGTGACCTTTGGAATTCTCTACCATCACTTTTGCCAGTTTGTTTTTCACCCTTGAGTCTATCCATTCCTAAGGTTCTCTTAAATGTTGGTTGATTTTTTTTTTTCTCTTGCTTCTCTGAAGAACAAACTGTATGGCGGGGGGACAACCTATTTAGTTTGTATCACTCAGAGTGGAATTGGCTCTGTCAGTAAATATTTGGTGAAAAATAAAATGCTCATTCATGCCTTTCTCTTAAAATGTTAATAGTACAGATTGGAAAAATTCAAAGTAGTGTATGTTGTGATATGTGATATCCACACAAAACCAAGCACTAGATAAAGATTTGTTTCTGATTAATCACTTGATATTTGGAGAATCAACTGATTTCTCCAGAAACAATTTCCTCATCAAATGGGGCTCATCATAGGCAACTTTTGAGGGGGTTTAATATGATGCATAACAAATAAGTTTTAGAAACAATGTGCAAAATAAATATCAAAATTATGATCAGAGCTGGGAGTAGGGGCAATTTATCAGAAGCTCCATGTAAACCATCTTTGTTTTGTGGCTTCTGAAGGCATAATTAGATAGGAGCACTGGATGAATTCAAAGAATTGTGTGCTTCAAATATTCCCAAGCATCAAACTAGATTACTGTATTTCCTTCCAGTTGCATATGCTTCAAGATGGTGACAACTATCTAAAGGTAAACCAAGAACCCATATAGGTGTGGAAATAGTGACATGTGAAAGACAATGGGAAATTTGGGGGGAAAGAGCATAGGGAACAGAAGAGGACAGTTGGGGCTGTGAGACTTGCTTTGAATATGTGAAGAATTTTCTGTGGAAGATTTATTACATATGTTGCTAAAATGCAAAATTGAGACTGGAGATAAAAGAACCACAAAAGCAAATCATGGCTTAAGTCCTTAGTCCATGTAAGGAAGTTTTCTAACCTCTAGGGCAGTCCTGTAATGGTGGAAGTTGTGGATTGTGATGGCCACACCCAAGCTCTCTGGGGAGATTTACCAAAGTTATTAAGAGGCTTCTATTGTTAAACTGAAGTTCTGGCTGAATGATTCCAAGGTCTTTCCAAGTCCAACTTGGGAATCCCAAAGACTGCAATGAAGCCAATGTAATAGGCCTAACGTGGTTATTAGGGATGAAGAGATCATGAATTTACATGCTGGGAAAACAATCCCAGAACACTCGTTCTTAGAGATGAAACCGCTTCATGAAACGATGACAGACGACATCAGCCTTGAGTCATTAAGAGGGACCCAAGGGGTGTGGTGTTCTTTGGAGGAGGGTGGCCGAATCTTCTTGTGCACTTGGTGGTCTCTTGCGTTGACACCCTTAGTTGTGGTCATGTGTATGACCCTCGATGTCCTCCAGGATTTGCTCCTGTGTTTCACGTGACACTGACGGTTGCAAGTACAGATTTCTGCTAATTATACCTTTCAATTAAAAACGCAAACAAGTACTTCCTCAATTTCAATGAGGAAAGGAGAGACTTAGACTTAGGAGTTTCCAACTTGGCAAGTGACAAATGCTCAGATGCATTTCTATTAAATGTTAAAGTGTTTGCCTGAAATGAGTGGCACAGGCCTGTCTGGGGTCCAGCGAGGCTCCACCTCTCTACTGTGGGATTCCGTTAGGAAGCCAGATGCCTCCACCTCCCGTATTAACCATATGTTGACCTTTTGGCACAGCACAGCCCTTCACATGTCTGCGCGTATTTGTAGAAACTGCAAGTGAAAATGGAGGAAAAAGTTCGGAAAGAGAGACGTTTAGTCCACAAACGGGTTAAATCATCTCCCTGACTTTCCCCGTTCGTCCTCAGCCTCGCCCTGGCTTCCCTGCGCGGGAGGAGGCCGTGGGCTGCGGACTGAGCGCTGGACGAGGAGGGCGCGGAGCCGGCTGGCTCCCTCGG